TTCCTTATAGGTACAGCCATAAAAAAAACACCACAAAAGCAACACAAAGGAGTATAACACAACGTACGTCACAGGCAAGTTTTATCTGATTAAATTTCAAGATAATATTCTAACATTCACATTCTCACATATGAAGCTTCATTATAAAACCTAAGCCACATATAAGCAGGTTGTAGTAAAATCCAGAAATACAACAAATTCTCTGGGAATCTAAATATTTGTCTCAATGTAAACATATTTAAGAAGACTTGTGTTTTGAGATTTCAATATAGGATTATCTTATACGTTTCAGCATTTTTGCTGGCATTTTTAAGGTCTGATATTTACTTGGAAAGATGGCAGTTTCTTAATTCCTTTGAGACATGCATCGTTTATCTGGAAGTTATTCTGAAAATGAGGAAAGCCATGAATACTTTTGAAGAGAAGCATTTCTACCCTGCCAATATGCTCTGAGGTTTGTATCTCTAGGAGTAGGGAAGGTTGAGAAAGGAGAGAACATTAGAATCATGCTTTTGTCTTGCATTCAACTTTACCATGAGAGGACAGTACCATATACACAGCTTTTGAGATTAACAGATACAAAGACTGGGACGGTTTTGTGGTCTCTGCTGTCCTTTTATGGACTACAGCCAGCCAAAAGCACTATTTATCTAGGAGCCATTGAGTCCACAATTATTTATAGCTAGTATGGAAATAAAAGATGAAATCTGATTTCTATGACAATTTTTAAAAAAATCCTTAGTTTATTTGGAGAACTTTCTTTCTTTTTATGCTAAGAATGGCTAATGTTCAGCAAATTCATAAACCCCATTACATGACTTTCCCAAAGTCAAAGATTGGTCTAGAGCTGTCTCCGTAAGTGTAACATCATAGTGTGAAGTTTTAAACCTCAGTTCAGTGGTTCCCTGTAGATCAGACTGAGTTGTTCTAAAGCAAATGCAGTCAATGTAAGTAATCTTTTAAAAAATTACTTAAAAACTGAAGTAAGATATGATTTAGAAGTTTTCAAAGTCAAGTGAGTCTAAGAAAGTGATACTGGTTTTTCTAATTGTCATTGATGGCAGGAAGTCATGAAAGAAATGGCCAGCTTATCTTCAGATATTTTCCTGCTTAATTCGTTTCACATAGAAAAGACGAAAACTGGAGGCATTCCAGAGAACTAGGGGGAATTAAAGTGGAATTACTGTAGAAACAATTTTTTACGTAATTGCATCATACTTATTACTCCCTACCCTGCAAATGGTCCAAATTGTCTGAAAAATGAACAGGTCAAATATGGGTGCATAGTGACTTTGCCAAGTGTGGTTAGTTGGTATCTCTGAACATTGATGACTAACCCCTCACTATCAGTCTCCTTCCATTCCTTGCACTGTCTAGTACGTTTGTTTTTAATTTAAGTAGGTATCAAGAATGAAATAAATGAAGAACTAAATAGCTAAATGAAGTGTGTGTGTTTGTGTATGTGTGTGTGAGAGAAATTAGTAGAAGCTGAATCTTTGCCAAAATCTCTCTGCATTCATACACTTCCTACATGTATGTAGCTATTTAATACCAATTATTAAATGATACTAATATTAAACAACTGGTTTTGAAAAGTATACATAAAAAAGCAAAATGACGCAAAACACTGGGAAGTAATGACAATTTTATGTTAGTCCCAGAGTTACATTAATTTTTTTCAGCTATTAGTAGACTTGGCCATAAATTTCCTCTATTTTTTCTTTCAAAATGTAGCCAAGAAACAAACATCTTTCGTTGCTTTCTTTGCAGGAAAGAACCAGTATCTGGATTATTTCCAGGCCATCCAGACAGCTATTTCAACTGGAACAAGTGACCTTTGGAACAGACTAGACCATAGCAGCCTGGCCAGACAGAGGGGAGGGAGTAGTCAACTGGGAAGGGCCCCAACGTGTTCCTGTGAAATGTCATTTGAAGTAGGAGGACAATAAAAAGCTAAGGACAAATAAATGAACTTAAAAATATTTAAAACCACTGAAAACTGTGCGACCACAACATGGGATTCAAGGAAAGACACAGCCTGAGTCTTCAGCTATCCTTCTTTAATACACATGCTCAACAAATATTGTTCTCCACCTGCTGATTATGGGCAGTGTCCCTTAGTTATACAATATTCATCTTTCAATCTTCACAGCCTCGCTGAAGCTATAATAATCAATAATCAATTAATAAAAGATATTAACATAACTAATACATTATATAATTCATATAAACAATAACCAATTGTTTTTCCTCCCTCAACTGGGCCAGATTTCCTTAGTCTATGATCTATGGTGGTTAACAAATGCTCACAGACAAGGTCGAGATCTTTATTTAGCAAATCATTGCTCCATACGATAAAAGTTAAAATATTGGTAAAGATTTCATCAGAGAGAATAGAGTGTTTATCTTCTAATATTTACTCGGAAGGCATGTTGTTCTTTTCTTTCAAAAAGAGCAAAAGAAAATTTAGTTCATGTCATTAGCCAGAATCATTCAACCTTTTACTGAACATTTATGGATAAAGTGTTGTACTCGGCACCAAAGAAGATACAAAAATGTCAAAGCAACACTTTGTTAAGACTTTAGGAGAATAAATAGAAGAGTAAAAAAAAAAAACTTTAATAAAACACATTTAAAAGATGTTGCTAAGACAATATTTTATTAATTTTTGCAAAATGTATTAATAATGATAAGTTGATAAACTACAATTTATGGAGAAAATTCTGAGATCTCAGAATGTCCTTTAATAGAGAATTCATTAGGTCCAGTGTGCACTGGGGAGTTCTTGCAAGAAGATAGCTCCTGCAGCTTCTGGCCAGGCTCCCTTTACTGACAACAACATTTAAAGCCTAACACAAGCTCCAAGGTGCCTACAGAGCTGCTTGCGAACTGGAAATGTTTGGCTTAATGAATTTTGAGTGTGCATCTGAATAAATATCAAAGATGTGGCTAAAGGTAAATGTAAGGTAATTAGCAAAGTTTTAGTGATACAGCTGTGGTTGTGTTATTAGCCCACACAAAACCCAGTGATAATGATACAGAAATAAGAAATTCAGCTATTTCAATTTAACTTGTAGTATCAGAAAAATTTGAAATGAGCTTTTATTTTTAATTAAAAATATTTTTATTGAAGTATAGTTGATTTATAATGTTGCAGTAGTTTCTGATATACAGGAAGTGACTCACAGTTATACATACATATATGTATATTCTTTCTCAGGTTCTTTTCCATTACAGGTTATTATAAGATATTGAATATAGTTTTCCGTGCTATAGAGTAGATCCTTGTTGTTTATCCGGAGTGAGCTTTTAAGCTCAACTCCTTCTTAAGTATGCCTTCCTTTGTATACAATTTAACTGTGATTTTGGAAGTTGTTCTATCATGACCTAGAGTGGAAAGAAATTAATTCAGAGAAAGGTAATGTCTTCTCTTATTTAAATAATAACCAATTTCATAAAAATTCACTTGAAAGTAAGGAAATAGAAGAACATAAATTATTTTAGGAGGTAGTCTCCTCATTAGAGTAAGGGAATCCCATTTCAGATAAATTCCCTAGAAAAAATGCTTTGAGGAAGGGAATTCTGGAAGTGGGTTACCTCTGGACCTTAATAACATAAGATCAAGACATGGAACAAGTGTATACGAATTAAGGTTTGTGTCAAATTGATGAGATGGGCATTGGAGGGGGAGGTTCTAGAGACATTTGTCTGAGGTTATCTAGGGAGGAGAGGACACTTCAAGTGAGGCACTTCCTGCATGAGACACAGGGGTCCAAGGGCAATACTAACCTTGTCCATATCAACAGTGTGTTAGTTGCCTATAAAGAGGGCAGTTTGGGTGGAGTCTGGGATTCAGTTGTCAAAACTGAGTCCAAGATTCTTCAAGTAATTCAACTGAGGCTGAAACCCAAAATCATGAATAAATATTGAATTTGGAACTATAGATGGAAACACTGGGACAGAAAAATATTCACAGATGATTTTTTCAAGGTTATGTTAAGTAACATCAAAAAGAGTAAAAATAAAAGTCAGTATTTAGAAATGCAACAAACACAAAATCTATCAGAAATGCTATCTGAAAATGAATTTCCATAATGTGGCTAAAATTAAAAAAAAATTCAAATCCAAAATACAAGACACAAGGAGAGATGAACATTATTGTCATTGGCCTGTCTTTATGTCTCACACTGGATAGCTAACAACATAGACGCTAGCCAGTGCGAGGTACCCAAATTTAAGCATAGTTAAACATCAGTGTTCTCAAAGAAGTTTTTGGTTCACACAATACTTTAATACATAATTGGTTTTCATTTATTAATTCATATACTTCCCTTACTTTTCCTTTAAGACAATAAACTAACTGAAGGCAAGCAGCCTGTCATTTTCAGTTTCACAATGTCTGTTAGCAAACTTACCAGATGTTCTCTGACCCACATAATACATATTATTCACACAGAGTGGGCAGTCAATGAATTTTCTTGAACGGATGGATGAATTGTTCCTTGGTGTGCAGAGGCTGTGCATGTTTGTCCCGTGTGCTGTTAAAATACTTAACATTGTGTTTTAAATAGCTCCAAAACAACTTCATCATAGTCCAATTAGCTACAACTCAAATCCTCAAATTATCAAGCCCTTCTTATAAAGACTGTCAGCCAAGACGCCCCTGTGTATTACTAGGATAAAAAGGCTCTCCATTTTGAAAAGAGATATTTACATAATACGGTTATTACACCAGATGGTTCTGGTGAAAGGAATCAAATTATGACCTCTCTCACCAGCAGGACCAAGTCCATTATATTCACAATCGAACGATGCTCGATCATAAAGCTAAAATGTGTGTGGGCTGTAAGAAATGCAGTTAAAGGTAGAGCCGTTTCCTGCTTCTTTCTTTTTCTGTCATTCTTTTGGCTCCAATTGATGACCAGGAATATCTGACATGAAATTAGCTTCAGAATGAGTCTAAATTAGAGGTTATTTAATAAGTAAATTATACAATTTAGTTATTTAAAGTCATTTATTCTCAGCAAAATCAAACATATCATTGAATTTACATAGAAATACAATTTTCAACTGGATCTTCATAAAAATGCATCGGTGAAATAAATGTTCTTAATTAACGACCAATTATGCACTATTTAATCATGCCAGTAGCAGAATTGATTACCATTAAAAATTGGTAAAGTAATATATCTTAAATGTGCAAATACCATCTTAGTACTCTATTGTGTTACCATTGATAATAAATTGCCACTAAATATATACCTATTACATAAAGCTTTTAAAGTACAATAAAAATACAAATTCTATCTGTTAAAAAAAGCCATAGATATGGCTTCTAAACATCCTCATTATACAAATTCCAAAATACTATATGACCAACAAAATTATAAAGACTCTTCTTTATGAAACATATACTACCCTCTAATTAAGGTACAACTTAGCAGGTAACAGAGAACAAACAAGAAGGCTTATATATACCATAGAATATTCTGGAGATACATACAAATATAATATTGCATAACCATATTTGATTTCTTTTCCTAGTGAAAATGTATCTTTAGCACTTGAAGAAAATTCTCATGACTAAAAGAAAAGAAAAATGTTTGAGATCTACCCTCCATCTAAGCTCACATTTTCATTAATTTAACTTATTTTTCCTATAATATGATAAACCAAATTATAAATCTGACCATACATTTTTGCTGTGCTGAGTACAGATTTGAGTCTGTTAAGCAATGGGCAAAAGTGTGGGAAACAAACATTTTTAAAAGTCAGAGTTCATCAGCACAACAAGAAGCAGGTGCAAGAAAACGTTATTATTCATGTTAAAGACAAGACTGAGCAGCGATTTGATCTTCGTGAAAAATGATTCTGATTTTAACACAATGAATAAAATTAAATTTGCTACATAATATTGATGATTCATAAAGAACAGGTGCCATAGATTTTTTTTAAAGTATCAAAACTAATGTGCCATCACAAAATAAGCTTTGGTGAGAAAATATTTTATCAAAGGAGAAAATATAAGAAGGATAGTCTTATTCAGTGAGAAAAAATATATTTGGTAAAGTAAAAATGGGTAATAGATACTGCAACTATAGACAGCATATATTACAAATGTTTTTAAGGAAACATCAGATTAGGTGATGTTTAGATGTTTAGTAATTTAACTTATCTCACTAGAAATTAAATTTTAAGTGTTTTGTAAATAGCAAATTTTCAATTTTTTCCACAATCTTTACTTATGAAATAAATAAAATATTTAGAGTATAATTGATAATAATAACTAACATTCTTACCTTGCATTTACTAATAAATACTCTAAATACATTTGGTTTATTTCTCATTGGAATTTATACTTTTGTTAATTTACCTGCTAAAAATGACCTGGTGGTGTTACATTCAAAGTTTACATTTTCCCACTAATATGAACAATACTTCATACATAAAATGACATCTGTCTAATGAATGGTAACACGTTTATTGGATGGAATATAGAACATATTTAATTTGGAATTGGTATATCTCTTTAGGACTTTGGAAGGTATCATTAAGGTATGGCTTCTGGGAAATCATCAATAAACTAGCAGCCTGGAGAATGAACATAAATTTAAAGAAGCCAATTATTTAGACCTCAGACACAGGCAGATATTTGGATAATTTTTCTTTCAATGATAAATTCTTCTACAACAGAAACAGAAAGGAACAGAAAAGTATGATTTACTTTACAGTGAGTTGTTTTTATAACAAAATGTTATATAGGTCGACAGTGAATTGTATGAGGAAATTTTACTGATATGATTTTCAAAAACTTAAGATGTTCAAAAATATATTGGCACATGTATAATACCTGTCATAAGTAATGCGTGATATATATGTATATAAAAGAAATTAAACAGAATCAGGACCTCTTGTTCTTGACATCAGCACCTGCTGTCTAACGGGTCGAGACAAAACACTGTGCCTTCAAGAGTTAGTCCCATTTTGAACCCCTCCTGTAAAACAAAGTCAAATCATTAAAATAGGAAATGTTCATAGCAAAAAAATAAGTAAATCTGTTGAAGAAAGAGACTATGAACAGAAGTTGAAATCTTTATGCTTTCATCGACTAAGAAGTACAAGTCTATGTCAAATATAGGCCTGCCGAGTTCTTTTTAAAAAGTCCTTTTACACCCATTAGCATTTTAAATGTTTTAAATGTGCATGAGGTTAGCATAAGAGACAGAAGAAAACAGAAATACGTGGAATTAAATATTTAAGACTGAAATGTTTCTTTTCAGACAAGTCTACTTATTATGTCATTCTATGGTCGCTTAGATCCCTCGGCTTTAAAGGTCAATATTCACTTAAATATAAGTAAGATAGTGCGATCTCAAGTTGATGACAGCCTGATAGTTTTCACCTTTTCCACCTGGTTACTACTGTTTGGAGCCTGCTAAAATATTTTCCCTCAATGTAATGCCGTGTCCTGTGTGGAGCACAGAATTGCAGACCATTTGGCCACACAGAAAACTGCCTCTTCCGGTCTTGCAGCTGCTTGTAGTTGCAAATTATTGCTTTGAATTCCACTCACCTCTAGCATGTCTTAGATGTTTCTGGAGGTTAAATTGCCTTTGATTTATTGAGGGCAAGTATATAATTTCCATGAAAGTTTTTTTTTCCCCCTCCCTGAAGATGTTGAGTTAAAAGTTAGTGGCAAAGGAGTCTGTCCTTCTCTACTCAAACCTCTCTTCTTTTCTGCCATCTCTGGTCTTATCACCTCCCCCATCCCCACCCCACTGTTCATCACATGAAATGTAGACAACAGTCTATTCTGGAGGGAAAGAAAATATCTCTCAAAGAGAAAGCTTATATCCTCTTCTGCTTTGTGTGTTTTACTTATAGACCATATCTACGTGTGTTAGCCAGTTGCATAGCAATTTGTATTTCTTCAGATTATTTTTCATTTAGAACTGGTATTTAATGTACTAATTATAAATCTGATGTAAACAGTATCACATACAGGAAGAAAATCATTACAAAATGCAAGCCACACCTTTTTCACTATTAATGTTCAGAGAACATTTTTCATTATGTCTACAGCACAAAGATCACACAGCAATGCCATCACTGAGGGTTTTTCGAAACTACTTCCCTGTATTTGGAATACAAATTATACTCAGTTAAGTTAAAGACAGAGTACTTACCACTTTTTAAAAGCCTATTCTTATCACAAGAAGAAATATTTTGTAATATGTATGCATACTTTTTAAACAGCTGCCACTTAGAAAAGTCAGTACTTCAAACTGAAAACATTATAAATGAATTGTTTCTAAAATTATTTTATTTAGATATTTGAAGATCTATGTACTATGTCATCTCCTGGTATAGGAGACATAGATAAGTAGATAATTTGGATGTATACCTTTGGAAAGGTTTAATACCATTTTTTTTTAAAGGGGGCAGTGACTAGGTTTATTTATTTATTTATTTGAATGGAGGTACTGGGGACTGAAGACCACTTCCTGCATGCTAAGCATGGGCTCTACCACTGAGCTATAACCTCCCTCGATACCATTGTTTTTTAAAATTTTATCACTTCATTCTGAAAAATAAACCACTATCACTACAATTACCCTGGAAATACTAATTTAGCAATGTTTTATCAGTATATGAAAGGCAGAACAGTAATCAGAGTAAAATAGGGGTCGATCATTATTTCAATAACAACATAAAATGTACGTATACCACTTACAAGAGTACCTCAATAGTGATTTTATCAGGATACTTTTGGAGTCCCCTTAGAGTAACTTTCTTATCCCTATTGATATACACATTGTTATACAGCTCCTTGGTTTTCTTTCCTCCTAAAATAAAATTTTCCACACATTTGCTGACTTTTCCTTCCAGGTCTCATTTAGTAAGTCATGATTTAATGGATTCTGAATCCTTCCAAGGTTTCCATATCCTCTTGAATTTTAAACCTCTGAATGAAAATAAAGTTATAATTTATTGAGTGATGAAAATTATCATGAACTAATATTAACAAAAGAATGATATATTACTATTAATATATTATTCATAATATACTTTTTATATAAAATATTTTGCCCAATTGGATTTTCTTATTTTGAAATTGGGAGAAAAGCATATTAAATGAAGGAAAAACCACTCTTGCAACAATAAATTAGTATGTCCTTTGAGTCTCAATTTTTTCAACTTATAAATTTAAAAACAATTTTAATAATAATATAACTATATACTATATATAACTTATTTATGTAATGTATTACATATATTATATATAAATGTCTAGATTCTTTTTTTAGTCTTAGCAGAAAAAGCTTTATTGAGTCCCCATAAAACTAATTTAATAATTTTATAATGTTCTATTAATTTTAATATGATTTGTTTCCTGTATTTTATGATTATGAATAAGGTTGACTGGATGTTTTTATCCATACAGATTTTTCCATACTCATATTAAAGTTTCTGATATCAAATAGAAATACAAGGATTAGTAACAAATTACTCTCCAAAAGGATTCTATGAACTGACTCGGGCCCAGGAATGATTTTCAGTGCTTACTGCACCACACTTTGACTTGCACTGATGTTAGTGAAAAATAAAATGTTTAATTTGCCGGACTGAAACAGCATTTATTTGTATTAATTTGTATGTTTTCCGTGATTAGACTTCACATGCCTACAAGCATGGAGCCACTTGTGGTCTTCTTTTGTGAACTACTGCTTTTTAATCTGTTGATTATTTAGTTTCTTAATCATTTGTCTACTTTAATTATGTGTATGTGATGTGCTTATATATTTTTTAAGAGAAAATTAGAAAGAACTATAGAAGTTCTTCTATAGAAGACTCTATGTACATATTTTTCTTTCCCTTATAAAAATTTCTCTCCCATTCAAAAGTCTCATAAATACTTAATTGTATTTCAAACATTTTAAACTGCTCAATGCCTCTAAAATTTATTTGGGTATTTGTTGTACATTTCAGCTTCTCCTAAATGATTAGCCAATAGACTTAACAGCATTTAATGCAAAATTCTTAGATTTAACAGCATTTAATGCAAAATTCTTTCACCCTGCATTGACTTGCTTTTTAAAAATGTATTAAATTATTATAACATACAAGGTATGCTTCAAGACTATCAATACTATTACACTGATTTGCCTGTTGGTGACATTTACCAGGAAGTTAAAATTATGTCAAATCGCATAATGACATAATTGATTTCCAATAAATATCTAATTTCCTAACAATCCATAAAAAATACAGCTTAACATTTCTGCTTAAGTTCTTACGTTCATGAGATATTTCTATGATTTCTTCTGAAATAAAAGAGGAAAACCAAAAATCTCACTAGGTTTATTAACACAATATGGTTTATACAACCCATATACTGTATTAAGTTTTTACCTTCTATGCAAAGAAAAAAATAGTAGCTAAATATGTGTTTTCAATTAATAACAAAAGTCATCATGGACTTTAAATAAAATACTGTTTAACTTTAGTTGAAGTGATCTTGTAAGCAAATAGTGGACTAAAAGAAATGGACAAGCAATGAGGTGGACAATGCAATAGTGACTAAGTCATTGAAAAAACAACTTCAAAATATGGGCTATAAAACCTCTTTAAACACAAGTAATAATCAGACATATCGATATGAAACTTCTATCTGAATATTTACTAAATAAAACATGCAAATATTAATTAAGGTTTAGCTTTAAGGAATTATAAGTTGTTTAAAATTATTATGAAAATAATATACCAACCATCTCTGGCGCTACCCACCATGAAAGCAGAAAAGAATAAAAAAAGACATTAAGAATATATCAGAAATGACAAAACAAAAACCAAAGCAAAAATACCACAGTGTAACATTATTTGACTAACATATCATTAAATCACTTCAATACAGTGTTTCTCAAACTGGGTTCCTACAAAATTCTGGAGATGTAGGCTTATCTTCAAAAATCTATAAAAAATATTTGTTTTGTGAAAATCTTAAAACCATTCATAGAAAATCTTTGTGGTTTGCATATACTTTGAGAACAAATACTACCACATCAGTGCCCATGTTTGTGCTTGTCCCTATAAAAGTATTAGTCCCAAGTAGTACAAGCATAATTGGTAAAACTAATGAAAAAAGAAATAACTTGATTTCATCTGAAATAAACAAAGCATTCTCAGTAAATAATCATCCACTATTTGAGTGAAAAGTCTTATAGTACTTGAACTATAGAAATGAGGTGGGGAAAGTGTGTCATCAAACAGGACACATGCTGAAATTAACAGAAGTTTGATGTTGATGGTTTTAATTTCAGCTAAGTAAAATGATCCATGCTTTTATATTTAAGTTCATTTCAATTGTATTAGGTGTTGTAATTTTCCTTTATTTAACTTATAAGTTTTGAATTAATAGTTGTAAAAGAGCTATAAAGGTAAGTTGTTTATAAGTTTTTTGTGAATATTTAAGATATGTTATAATAACAGTCTAAGTCAATATTAAAGATTTAAAATAATTTTTCATGTAAAAGGGAATTCTAAATCACTCAACTTGAGAAGTGTTTTAACATAATCTCTGAAAACCTCAAGGCATGTTAAACAATACAACTTTTAAAATATGGGCATTATTATATCTAGAACAATAAGAAAATTCACATAATACCTAGAAAAGAAGATTGCTTCGTACCTGCAGTACAAAATAAGTCAAAGGATATTTATTATCTTTCTAGGAAGTAGTATTTTATCAGCGTTAGAAGATCATATTCTACCCATTAAATTTTTCCCAGGAAATGAAGCATGGAGAGTGACTGTATTAACTCAGGCCTAATAAATAAAAATCACTCCTTTTCACATCTTCTCAATCAGCTTCATATAATTGTTCTCTGCCTGAATTCTACAGAGTTCATAAACTTTTTGATTAAAAAAATAGAATATAATAGCATCATCAAAATGTAAAAGGAAATAAAAAGAGAAGACTTTATTATAGTACGTATAAGACTACTTATTAATCATGGCCCACTGTACAAAGTTTTTAAGACCAATGTCTTCAAACTCCCAGAACAATTCAGAATTGAAAAATAAAAGGGAGGAAAGTAATGAAAACCCAATTGGACTACATTCCTAAAGAAGCTGTCATTGGGTGTCTGCTTTCTACATTAGAGTCTAGAAGTTATGAACACAATTACAATGTTTCCTTTCTTTTTTTAACACCCTCCCCTTCCTTTGGAACTCTCTGTTTTAGCTCTCAGCTATTTATTCTTTAATTAATTGAGGTAACATTGGTTTATAACATTACATAAATTTCATGTGTACATTATATTTCAGCTTCTGTATGCACTTCAGTGTGCTCACCACCAAAAATTTAGTTTCCAGTCATCACCATACAGCTGACCTTGTTTACAATGCTTCTTTTTAAGAGAGACTGATTTAATTCTTACAAAGATTTTCCTTCATCCACCCATTCACAATTTTGAAATTCATAATTGTTGAGACTGAGATCAAATCTTATAAATCTAGTGCAATGACCTTTTGATTTTTTGGATTTTGAAATAATGAACCATTAGAATTCATGTAATTTTGTATAAAAAAACCCCATTTTATTACCATTATAAATTGCACCCCTAAGAACAAAACACAACAAAAACTTATCCCCTTATCCTTAGCATCTGTCTGAGGTTTTTTAAAACTAAATGTATATTATTATTTTACAGTAATTATTTTAAGTAAGTTTTTCTAGTGATAATAATTCAAGAAAAGGGTAGTTTTAGTATACAACATTCTCTTAGTCTCACAGAAAAAAATTATGGGCCAATCTGTTAAAATAGTCACCTGCATCTCATCTAATTTTGATTGAATGTCTGGAGGGAAATCCCCTGCTCCACAGTTAAATGGGTCAAATGGTTCTGCTCCAAACAGGTCCCGTTCTAAAAGGAAGAAAATAATTTTGTAAATGAAATGACAAGGAGTGAGTTGGGGTGAGATAGATTTCAAAGGCAGGATTATATAAAGAAATTCTTGTACGACCAAATGAGTCCCTATTCACATGTACACTTTATCCTGGGCTTTTGTGAGCTTAGACTAATTAGTTAAACATCAACAAGGAAGAAAAATCCATTTTATGATGATGTAAAAGCCGGTTACAAAGAATTATTATTCAGAGATGTTTCTGTGTCTTTAAAGACTACCTAATATCAAATTCACCAAATATTTGATACTTAATATATTACAATACCTACATTTCATTGAAGCAATTTGAATGTACTAACATTAATGTTTTACTCACTGAGACTTCCCTATTCCATTTATTGATGACTCGGCAAAACAACAGTGAAGCAATACGAAGCACTGAGTAGATTTGGAAGTAGTCTTATTCACAGTTCCTGTACTTTAATCTTACCTTGTCCATCATCTCATGTAGTATGAAATCACATCACTTCCTAGATAACCACAATGAGACAGGTTCTTTACAAATGCCTCGTATCCCAGAAACAAATTTCTTTTAAAAAAATAGCAGTTGGAGGATCAAAGAGCTCTCTGGGCATATATTTTAAAGTATGCATTGTTTTTTAATCACTAAAGAAGGATCAAAGTTAAAATTGATGTTTGTAACTGACTAGACTATGGCCTAGTATATGATTGAAAACTTATTTTAAAATTAAGAAATTTCTTTCCTCTGAATCATTTCAAATGCAGCCTTAATTGACGAAAAACTAAATTATATATGAGCATGAGAATTTATACTGTATTAAGGCTTTCATTTTTCATGAAGCTATATTCTCTAAATTCAGTGCTATGTAAGAGATAATATTTATGCTACTTGAGTTCTACCACATCCTCTAAATCACTCTGAGACTCTCATTATTAAAGACTCTTGCTTCCCTAGCTTTAACTTTTTTTAAGATACATGTATTAAATTAGTTAATAAATGTAAAATTCTTAGAAGTTTCTGGTGCTGTTAAGTATTATATAAATAATTTAGCATCCAAACAAAGACACTTTTAAGAATGAAAGGAGTGCTACCAACAGTTTCACTAGGACAAAATGCATAAGCCAGGACTGTCCTAGACGAGTGGGAATCTATTATCACCTTACATAGAACTAATGGGTATTATTTTTGTTGTTACTGTTTATTTTCTTCTGTCTGATGTTTACTGTAGGCAATAAACCAGAACTTAGAGAACAGAGGAACTTTTCTTTGGAAGAGTATCCTAGGTACCACGACACCACAAACACATCAGACAATGCTTTTACACGTGGTAGATATTTGTTAAAAGAAATGAATTAGTAAAGAAGTGGAGCTGATCAGCAAAAACAGAGATTTTCATCACACAGATTTTCTACAGTTAGGATTCGAAATCACCAGGGATTTGATTTAGATGGGCTTAAAGGGATCCTTAACATTCCTGAAATGCAAGGCAAAATTTTTTATGAGTGGGTATCTTGTGTTTTTCTGTGAAGAAGTTTAACTTTTATCATAATCTGAAGGGCCCATAACTCCCCCACAAGTTAAGAAATTACCACTTTACATATTAAAGATATCAGTACCAAGCAAATTAACATTACAGAGCTCTCTGGCATATTCTGGTCAGCTCAGATGGATTTAAAATTCATAACAAAAAACCATATATGCTCAATTTCCAATGAAAAAAGATTCACTATGTGATTAATAGCATGAAAATTGTTTAATCTAATGTAAGAGTGAAAGAATAAAAAATAAGCAACACTTCACTTAGTCATTCTTTCCTTTACCCACTAAATACTTATTGAACATATATTATGTGCTATATATTTTTCTAGGCTGTGGATTAGAGCACTGAGGAAAGGGCTTTATAGTCAAGTCCCTTCCCTCATTAATTTATAGTGAATCAGGAAATATAGTATTAAATTATTTGAAGTCTGATACATATTCAAAAATCAAAAATATGTTCTGAAGAACTCCTAGGGTTCTCAGGAAATAAGGAGAGAAACTAAGGAACAATCTTGTAGGTGGTTGCTTTTATGTATTTAGAATACAAGAAAAATAAACGAATGAATACATTTAAGATTTCATTTAATAAGGAAAAAGTGTTATTACTAAAAACCCCACTGGATTAGAGTTTTAGACAATTTTACAATTAAAATTGAGGCGAACCATCTGTCCTTAATTATTATGATAGATAGACAAAAAGATGATTGATAGATAATAGATATGATACAGTGGTAATCAGAACTCCATTTCTGGA